TGTGCATTAACAGAACATTAAGTACAAGATCTAAGACCAAAATCTTAAACCCTTTTAAATGTTGTGACTATTGATTCCCTAACCTAGTCCTGTCCACAAATGAAAGAATCTCATTTTCCATGTGTAAGTCCAACTAGACTCTTCTAAAACCAAACAATTGCATAAGATTCCCATTCCCTCTGGAAAATTTTCACATAGTTACATCTGAAATTCAGCCCTAAATTGCTACTGAGACCAGAGTGAAGCCCAAATTTTACCAGCATGTAAAAATTTCACTTAGATTTCAAAACTTTGCAAACACAGAATGAATATCTTAACTAATTTCTCTTTTTAAAGATCATATGTCATACATACATCAAGACTTTAGAAAACCAGCCATAAGTTAATTCTCAATTCCAGAATATTATTTAAGGCTGTACTATGGTGATGAAAAACTTCCTGTACATTAAGGAGTTAATATATAGCTGCAACTGGAATTCAAACCTCCACTCTCAGTGAAACACTTTTGCATTAAATAATTTGACCACGTTATAGTCTCTGTATGCTTGTTGAATGAGGCAAAGCTAAGTCTATTCAATATTTATTTTCACTGCATAGTAAAAGCTTATACTTTAAAAACTATTATTTTAGTATTAAACTTGTTAGATTCCCAGAAAATTCTACAGCAGCACTGCCACAGCCATCACAGTTATAATTTAGCTGTGACTTCAAAAATTTACTATGTTGTCACTAAGAAATCTCATTGCTAAGTGTCAGCTAGCTATTCTAAATTATTAGTCCACAGTGTCTCACGGAGATAAGATTTTGTTTTGCTAATAATTGTTTTGCTCTGGAAATAGGAATGGTTGACACTTTCCTAAATCACAGACTTGCTACTTAGGAAGCAAAGTACCTCCATAGCAAGACATTCCAAATAGCAAATGACAGCTACATAAACAAACATATGGGAAAGTAACATCAAATGGGCACTTTGAAATCTAAGATGTTCTTCTCCCATAGGATTTTAAGTATCGCTGATATTTAAGGAATTTCCTGTATGGCATACTAAGCAAATTTCTGGCCTCAGAGAAATACCGCAATTCATTCAGTATTTTGAAGTGACACTCCTTGTTTTTTTTTCCTTTGCAGCATATATCAAGTATCTGTAGTGATAACTAGGGAATGAGTAATCTGAAAAGAAACAGTACTAGGAATCTTATGTTATCAAACAACCAGAAATAGAAAAATACATAAAAGTAGTTCTATAGTCAGTTTTTGGGAAGAACAAAATATTGGAAATATACTCAGAAGTTGTCTGACATCAATCCTACTGTAAATTAAGTTGAAGCATAACTTACTGGTAAAGTTCCTGGTAAAGAAGCATCAAAGAAAGATACCACAGAGTTAGGAGGTGCTGCAAACTGGACTTGGGATCCAGAGAAGAGTTTTGAGTTGGAACTGATCTGTGCATGAATTTCTAGACCAACAACTGGTACCCATGGAGCAAGACTGAAAAGGAAAGAGAAATAAAATTTAAATAAAAAGGACATTAAACACCACAAACATCTAAAAATACAAGAATTAAAAACTTTTCATTTATTCTTTTAATAAAAATTAAATTGTAATTGTAAAAAATGTAAATGATGTTGTAAATACATCTAATTTATGGCAATGGCAGAAGTTGTGCTGTAATACTGGAGAACTGTGAAACTGAGACTGACAATATAGAGGGAACTGTACAGCAAAGCGTCTTCCTTATATACAGAAAAAAATGCCATAAAAAGGAAACATAATGGTCTGAAACTTTTAACTTTCCCTTACATGAGAAATCTTAAGAGAAATTAATGATGCAAACTTGCATGCTGGATGAACCCTAATTTGGTATCTCGTGAAAATCACAAAATCATCATAAATATGTATTACTTCTTTGGTAGTTTGATAAACCTCCAAAAATCAGTAGCATAGTAAATTATGTATTCTTTGTCAGCTAATCGCATGCTAGGAAAGGTGGCTCTCCGGAGCAGTGTTAGTAGCATATTAGCATAAACATTAGTAATCTGGTAATAGAGAAATCATCATTTCAGCTAGAGAGCTACTGTTCTCTGAACATATTCCACAGAATAAAGCTTCTCCATATCATCTGAAAAGTAATTGCAGTTCTCACATCCATAACCTTTATATGGACAAGAGAAAAAGGTCACCTTCACAGTATGAATTGCCTGACAGTTTCTGTAAGTAATTATATGGCCTTGTACAAATGAAGTGGCACAAATAATATTTCAGTGATGAAATCACATTTCTATGGCAGACTACTTCAGCAGTACAAGTACCCAGATAGCTGTAGGAGATAAGGAAGCTATTGAAAAACATCAAACAAATACATCAAGTACAGTGTTCCCTTCAAAGGTGAATATAATACATTGCCAAGATTTTACTTCTCTGTCTGCCCTCCAACAGCTGAGGACATCCCCATAAACACCAAACTACTGATGTCACTGATTTAGGAAGAAAAATATTATCATAAAGGATTATGGTTCAGATGTTTTAAGGAGTTTATGTATTTTCTTTTACTGAAACATAGTGTTTCCTTTGGCGTTTTCAACTATTCATAAAATTGCCTCAAGTCAATTTGGGGGGTGGGGTGGGGTGTGTTTGTTTTTTAAATTTTGGAGGCAAATTTATTTAATTGTTTCCTGCATTCTTTAGAAATCCATCCCCATCACATCACAGTGTTTTATCACATTTTTCGCTTAATCAGCATATTGGCTTACACTCTGATAAAAGATTTGTGCATCAGTCCTTGAGTCCTACCAACAACACTCATGAGAAACCTGGAGTTCCTTGCCTTGCTTGCTCAAGGTTTAGATTTATTTGTGTCTCTAAAGACTCAGCAGCATACTTCTGCCCCTTGCCACACAACTTCATTAATGATGAGCTGCGTAGAGAAACCTGAGTCTCACCAGAGAACATGAAAGCTTGTACAGGCCTTAACTTCCAGTTGTGGGAGAAATAAAATGCTCTACCAGGCATGCTGCCAAGGTTTCACAATTCTCCACTGGAAGAGAAAGCTTCTTCGGACCAGAATAACCCTTCAAAAAATACTTATGCAGATTGGTGCATGTTGATTATGCTCCAAACACATGAATGTCAACTCTTCCCAATTCGCTTGCGTCGCGTCTGGCTCCTACATGTCAAAGGAACACAGCACTACCGCTAAGACAAACACTGTCTGGCGGGCGTGCAGGAGGAACGTAATATAAATGCGTGCTGAGAAGGTCCTGCCATCCTGCTCTCGTCCCCAAACCACCTGCAGCTACACGCTGAGGAGAGCGGGATGCCCCGGCTGAGAGCCACCTCCACCGACCCCTCTCCCGCGCCGTCCCGACACCATACCCTCGCTTCCCCGCCGGTACAGCCACGCCTCTCGCGCTACCGGCAACAGCGCGCTGCCCGCGGGGGGCGGAACCTCCAACTCCACGCTGCCACACCCGACACCAAACCCCACCGCACCCCCGGACAGCCGCAGCCATTTTGCTTTCTCGACGCCGAGGGTCTTTCGCAGCGCCCCCTGGGAAATGTAGTCCTGCGCCCGACGGCTGCGCAGAGCGGCAGGTGGCGGTGGACTACAACTCCCGACAAGCCCTGCTACAGGCTCCTTCGCGGGCGGGACGGGGAGTGTCCCCATGCACTGCCTGAGGAGGGCAGTCGAGGCGGGCGGGGTGGGTGTGATGTGCAGTGGTGGGAGTTCTGTCGGGATAAAGAGTCTGTAAAAGGTTCTGCTGCCCTTTTAGGGTAGAGTTGGGGAGCTAGCTGTTTCCATACACACTGCTGTGGAAAGGCCTACCCTCCCTTCACTGCTCAATGTAATGGCGATTTGTTACCAGGCAGGTGTAAGTCCTCCTCATGCACAGCTCTCCTGCTTACCTCCTCCTGGAGAGGTTTTGCCCCAGGCACCTGAAAACGCGTTAGTGTGGGACACAACAGCACTACAGTCTGAGGAGCTGATAACTGGCCTGAAGGTGCTTTGCCTATCCTGAGAAAATCAACGCTTGACCTAGAAATGCTGGAGCGAGAGAGTAATTTTTGCATTTGTGTCTTTTAGCTGTTCAAAACTTCTTAGGCTTGGGTCCTCAAAGGGGATGTGTATGATTTTCCGATGGGTTCACACTGATAAGAAGCCAGTGGCTATTTTAAGAAGGTGTTTTTGCAAATCTTTGGAGTGAACAGATATGGTACCATGCAGTTGAAATCTTGGCTTTTATAGCTCTGTGTATATAGAGCAGCAAAGTCCAGTCTCTGCAGGGCCTCGAGTGTTAGTGCTGTACAAATACACGGTAATAAAGAGAGCTGTCCAGGGCATATGCAAACATCTTAAATGCTGTTTACGCAGCTACATTAAACAGACAATAGAAATAGCAACCTTCTGTTCTAAGCCACAGGCCTGCAGAGCTTAAATGGGAATGTACATTAGCTGATGCTTATGTCATCCTTGCTCTATGTCAGCTACTGCTAATAGAAGCTAATCGGTTACAAACATATGAGTAAGACTGATTTTTTTCCAGCAGAGGATGGTGGTGCATGTGAGTGTTTGACAGTATCTTGCAACCTTTGTATCCTCTTGTCTTCCCAAACTCAAATACATTTGAGATGCTGAGTGGTTCAATGTCATGTAGAAGATAATGTATCCAACTAAGAAAATGTTTTATAATGGTTTTTACATAGCACTAATTTTTTAATATATTTATAATTTAAATGAGTTAAATTACTGCAAAGTTCTTTATAAGAAGAGCTAGTTGAAAGATTACTTCAGCAGACACTGATCTACAGCTACTTGTACAATATAGCTTAGTTTAATTAGCTTGTCATATTCCTATTCTTGGGGAATATTACTGCCTTGTACTTCAAAGTGTGACCAAGACAAAATTCTTTCCAGTAAAGAAGAACTAGCCACAGGCCATCTTGGACGTGTTGAGAAAAATGAAAGAACATTGCAGTGACCCTTTTCCTTCTCTTCTGTTACGGACCTCATCACATATGAGACAACCTGAGGTAAAGCTTGTATAGCAGTCTTCAAGCCAATGGAATAGGTAAGAGTTTCTGAAAATTCTGGTATGAAGAAACCCCCATTGTCTTCTGGATTTACTGGGGGCCCATGCACTGGGTTGTAACCAAGAATGCGTTTCGGGCTGAAGCTTTAGTATATGATTGTTATTTTGGCAACAATTTTAGTCCTTTAACAATTGTCCTCCATGAACCTTGGATTTAATTATTATTTGATACTTTGTAGGGTTTGATAGAGCATTTCAACCCAGCTGTGAGGATAGGCTCAGAATATTGCACTAAAATGTTTTTAGTGGTATAAAAATGATAAGGTTTGGATTGGTTTAGTTTCTTTTAAGTCTGTTCTCCTGATGTAATAGAAGATTTCATAAATAATCACTAAGAAGTTAAAACCTCATGAATATTAAAATCATGTTACTTAAAGCCTTACTCTGCCTTGATTGCACAGACTTCTGCCCTTTGTGCATATTATTTAGAAAGGAGTAGACAACACAGCAGGGTTGAAATCTACTTTCGTCATCCCAAACTGGAACATCTTTTAGCTGTGTGGGTGTTGTCTTACATAGAGAGGAGGATTGGAAAGTGTCATTGTTCATGATTTAAATTGTCTCAGTGCTATTTTAATTCCTTTCCCAGAAAAAAAAAAAAACAAAACAAAAAAAAGCCAACTATTAGAAAGACCTTTTTCTTTGCAGCCCTATGCCAATAACCAAGTAGGTAATAAATGAAAGCTCACACATCCATATACAGGAAGCTGATCAATCACAGACAAGCAGAGAATAATTGCCTTTCCCAGCAGCTTACTTTGAAGTAGGAAAGGCTACATATTTGTTCCTTATATACCCTGGGCAGCAGCCTCTACTTTGCAGTATGTTTATACATCATGCTGTGGCCTGGAATAGGAAAATATCTCCAGCACTGCATAAAGATTTGTATGATGATAGTTCAGTACTAACTATGTAGATTTTTGTCTTAGAGAGGATAGACCCAGGGGGCAGTTTGCCAAGTCTGAGTTTATTATTACTGCAGGAATTTAACCAATGTCTGAGAGGAAATTGGAATTTTGTAGAAGACAAAAACCAAACAGCATATCATTTAAGCCGTAAACATACAGTCTGTCCCATTTATTTGAAGAAGATCTGCTTGAATTTCAGTCTGAGTTCTAAACTCTGCTTTCTTGCAAGCATGTTTAGCACACATACTTAGTCCTTTTGTGGACTGTGAGATCTTTTGGTATAGCAGGGAATGGGGTATTCAGAATGGGGTGTTAGATGCCTCACAGGTTGCCTGCAGTGTCTTATTTCAGCATGTGAAATAAGGAACAAGAGAGAACCTCTGCTTTTTGATTTTGATTTTGAAGCAGAGGGTGTGGCTTTTAGAAGAGTAAATCTGTAGTCTACCAAATAATCAGACATTGTTCTACAGGGAAGAGTAATGAAGAGGATTGTTAAGTTTGGAAGCAAACTATAGTAAGGGATGTTTTCAAACTTTCAGGCCCCTAAAATTACTTTGAAATACTTTTTTTTTTTTCCCTACAGGTATAAAGTAAATTTTCTTCTTTTTCTGCAACTTTCAACTAATAAGGACAATGATTTTCAGCCTGGACTACTAATTCAATTTGTCTATCTACCAGTAGTAGGAGTTGGCAAATACCAGAAGTGTACCTGATCTTGCAGATAGGAAAAGGGTATTTCTCTTGACCATAGGAGACAGTAGCAAGCTGATAGGGCTGCCTTGTATGAGCTTCTGGGCATGTGTATGTGCATGCAATGATAGAATGGGTGATATGGAGGGCCTCATGGTTGGAGAGGTCTTGTATTAAAGTGTGCTAATGTAAAAAATGGCATCAATGTATATTGACAGGCAGGTAGTGCCATTTTATTTCATAAAAGTGCTATTACTCATGAATCGAAGATAAATGCTAGACTTGCCTAGAATGAACTACCACAATAATTATATGTGCACAAGCAATTTCTGTAATGGATATATAAAAGTAACACATAGATACTGATATTGCTGTAGAAGGTGAGTTCACTGTTCCTTGGAGGCTGTGTTGCGAGGAGAGAACCTGCATCTTTTGTTCAGCCATGAGAAGCCCTTATACTATGGCTCCTGTGTACTGGTTTTCACATGGCATGGCTTGCCTGGGGATGCTGCAGTGAGCAGGTGACTGCACATGTGATTTGAATCAGGTGTTGGCCATCTTGAAAACTAGCACTTGGGTATGTTGAACCTCCTTGTGTCTCAAGACACTGGGTTAGTTGGCAGCAAAGTAGTTACTGGAATTATTGTAGCTGGGAAGCCTTACAGCCCATTCCCTAAAGGCAAAGGTAGTCTTAGTCTGAGGGAGTTCAGCAACACTAACTTTGTCTTATGGCAAGTACTACTTATAATCCTTATTAAAGTCTTAATTTTTCAGTGTGAAATTTTGCTGTTATAGGCATAAGTGGTTTTCCTAGTGCATCACTGTAATCTTGGTGTTGTATCTTGACTAAATTATTAGAAAATTGATATTATGAGCCTATGCTACCTTTGGTATGATGTCCAGCCACCTAGGGATTAATTTCTTTTAGTTGGAAATCAGTATGACTTTCTTCTAGGGTGATCACTCTTTTTTGGTTTGGACCTGTTACACAATGTTTTCTAAATGCTTGAATTGTAATTCAGAATTAGGTTTATATTTAGATACAGTGAAGTTTATAGGGAACATGTTTTGGTAGTGGTTCTTATAGTTCGTTTTTCAAGCAATGGGAACTGCATTTGGAAACAGCAGAGACTAGGCAGAAGCATCTATATTGGAGAAATGTCTATAAACTTACTGCATGAATCTCATATCCACTGTCTGTGAAGGGGAATGCAGAAGAAGGTGATTGATAATATTTCAGCTGATCTGAGATTTACTAGTAATTATGTCCAATTGTCTTGGTATCTGCAAGAAAGCCTTTAAAATGTCTCTCTGGCCTCTGGTTTTCACTTTACTCCATAGAGTGAAGAACAAGGAAGGAGAGAAAGCATGTAGAAGTGAGACTAATTTGTTCCTGGGTTTTATTACTTTTTGCATTGCATTTTCATGTATTCTCTTTCTTCTTTTTACAATTTTAAATTGAAATTTCAAAGAGCTGAGGCTTGTTACTTCCTAAATTAAGAGCCACAACTCTTATTGCAGGCTATCTATGACTTACATAAAGTCAAGGATATAAAATTTCAGCAGCATATGGTTTCACATAACCGGTACTTTAACAAGAACTTTCTCTCTTGACCCCAGGACGAGGGAAGAAACTAAATGCTGCTGTACAAAGTACAAAACTAAATCCTAATCTTTTGCTTCTGAAGGTAGCCTGTCATAATCTTGATGCTTGTCCAAGTGTCTAATTTTAGACAAGCTGTACCTTCCAAATTGCACTTGAGGTATATATTGTCTGTATCCTTTTAAATTGTTTATGGCTTCAGTTTTATAAACCCATTTGTAAAAATTCCATCTGACAGACAAACACCAGGAAAAAAAAGACGCAAAGATCTGTGCTCAGTTTGTTAAAGAAGAAAAGGTTCAGTTGAATAGCCAAATTGGGAGCATGCATCAGTGTTTTCCCTGACTAAGAGATGGTATTAATGATCAGCAAAACCTTCAATTATTGTTGGCTTCTCTGTCACGAATAAAGTGAAGGAATTGTTTGAAAGAGTTGTCAAGTGACATAAATGATTTCTTAAAAATGTGAGATTACTTGTGGGTTGAAGCTCATTCTAAGAGGTTATATTTAAAAGTGCTTCAAGGGGCTGCTTTTATTGTTCTTGGCATTAAAGGCTGGTTTTAATTGTCTGAAGCAATAAGGATGTGAACTAAAACTGTTGGCCAGATGGAACTTTGTGATTAATTAGTACACTAAAAGCACAGCAGAAATGTAAGTGAAGGAAAATATTGCAGATAAATTCTCAAGGTTTCAGATTCTGAAGTGAGACAGCCATGTCTCACCTTCTTTTCTATGCAACAACACAGGCTTACGTTTTGCTTGTTTAGGATTGATTTATAAGGGGTTATTTATTTTCAAGGCCCTTAGTATATTCCTTGCCTTCAAATATATCCACCTATACATTGTATTACACGTCACCCACGTGAGCTTGAAGAACACAGGTTGAAACCCTTATCCTTATGTCTTTACTCTGGGATGTTGTTTGTTTTACTTACATAGTTGCACTGTTAAGCTCATCTTCCAACAGTGCCTGGGGTATTTGAAGCAAAATAGCGAACAAAAACCAGACTAGGGTCAACGTAGGCCCCCTCTGGAAGCTATCAGGAGATCTGGCTACACAGGATTTGGAGAAGGTTGAGGTTCTGAATGACTTCTTTGCCTCGGTCTTCACTGGCAAAGGCTCTGACCACACCACCCAAGTCTTGGAAGGCAGATGCAGGGACTGTGAGAATGAAGACCTTGGGCCCACTGTAGGAGAGGATATGGTTCAAGACCATCCTAAAAACCTGAACGTACACAAGTCCATGTGACCTGATGAAATCCATCCATGGGTCCTGAAGGAGCTGGCGAAGGAAGTTGCTAAGCCACTGGCCATCATATTTGAAAAATCATGGCAGTCAGGTGAAGTTCCCAACAACTGGAAAAAGGGAAATATAACCCCCATTTTCAAGAAAGGGAAAATGGATGACCCAGGGAATAACAGACCAGTCAGTCTCACCTCTGTGCCTGGCAAAATCTTGGAGCAGATTCTCCTGGAAGGCATGCTAAGGCACATGAAAAACAACAAGGTGCTTGGTGACAGCCAGCATGGCTTCACTAAGGGGAAATCCTGCCTGACCAATTTGGTGGCCTTCTATGATGGGGCTATGGAACTGACAGACAGGGGCAGAGCAGCTGACGTCATCTACCTGGACTTGTGCAAAGCGTTCAACACTGTTCCACATGACATCCTTCTCTCTGAATTGGAGAGACATCAATTTGATAGATGGACCACTCAGTGGATAAAGAACTGGCTGGATGGCCGCACACAAAGAGTTGTGGTCAATGGCTCAATGTCC